ATTTCATTTCGAGATAACCCTATTATCCAGGTTCCTTCTCATAGCCCTACTATCCAGGCTGTCATCTCGAAGTAACCCTACTACCCCGGTTCCTTCTCATAGCCCTACTATCCAGGCTTTCATCTCGAAGTAACCCTACTACCCAGGTTCCTTCTCATAGCCCTACTATCCAGGCTGTCATCTCGAAGTAACTCTACTACCCAGGTTCCTTTTCATAGCCCTACAATCCAGGCTTTCATCTCGAAGTAACCTTACTATCCAGGTTCCATCTTATAGCCCTACTATCCAGGCTTTCATTTCGAAGTAACCCTACTACCCAGGTTCCTTCTCATAGCCCTACTATCCAGGCTTTCGTCTCGAAGAACCCTACTACCCAGGTTCCTTCTCATAGCCCTATTATCCAGGCTTTCCTCTCGAAGTAACCTTACCACCCAAGTTCCTTCTCATAGCCCTACTATCCAGGCTTTCATCTCGAAGTAACCTTACTACCCAGGTTCCTTCTCATAGCCCTACTATCCATGCTTTCATCTTGAAGTAACCCAACTACCCAGGTTCCTTCTTATAGCCCTACTATCCAGGCTTTCATCTCTACGTAACCTTACTACCCAGGTTCCTTCTCATAGCCCTACTATCCAAGCTTTCATTTCGAAGTAACCCTACTACCCAGGTTCCTTCTCATAGCCCTACTATCCAGGCTTTCATCTCGAAGTAACCTTACTACCCAGGTTCCTTCTCATAGCCCTACTATCCAGGCTTTCATTTTAAAGTAACCCTACTATCCAGGTTCCTTCCCATAAGCCCTACTATCCAGGATTTCGTCTCGAAGTAACCCTACTATCCAGGTTCCTTCTCCCTTATCTCCAGACAATGGTTTACAACACTGTAAGGCCCAGGCCCGACCAGATATGGTCGGTTTCACATTTCCCCAGTAAGTCGCTGTGCAGCCTGGACCCTGACCAGGTATACATTCTACTTTCACTCCCTCAATCAAGAGTTAATTACCCAGTAGAGTAATGGACAATCGAAGCTCCTAGATTTTACTTCCCAGGGCATAAATCAACATTCCTCGATAAAGTCCTCCTCAACAGCAGGTACATGAATTCTCGCCAAGGAATATCTTATGCAACCGATCTTTTCGGGATGGCATCTTTAATCTCATCTCCGACGATTCTATGTCGCCTTCCAAATGGCATCTGTAATCCCATTCCCGATATCACCAATTATCATTACTTCATGCGAGGGCAAATTTCTAGGCATTCTAGTGTTCAATCATCTTCCACCTTCAGATCACGAAAGGCAGACCAGCCAATCTACATCCTCAGGCTTAAGAAGATTGAACAAGGGCAACTGTTGTACCCCAAAATTTGCCCTCTCATTTCTCAAAGGATCATCCTGGATTCTCAGGTTTGCTTCTATCAATTTCCAAGTATTGAATTACAACTTTTCAAGAAAATTATCCATAAGGGCAAAATGGTCAAAAGAACACTGAAAAGTCAAACTTTGACTTTTAGATCAAATCAAGTTTCAGCAAATATATTTCATCAAGACATGAAATTGGTTCATCAAAAAATCAGAAGTCAAAAATTACTTTGAAAAAAATCAAATTTCTAAATATTTAGAAAGTTTTCTAAGTGTTAAGAGAATGTGATACTTCAGAACTTCTGAGCCAGCCTCCACACTGAAACAATTGGCCTAAAATCATCAAACAATGAAGTCGCCATCGAACATCTTTTATCCCACATGTAGGGAAAGGTAAACATCGAGAAAACCTGAGAGGGAAGAAGTCACGGTCTTGCGACCGAGAGATCGGGTAAGAGAGTCTGTTACGCGAGGGGAAGGTATTAGCACCCCACACGCCTGTAGTACTTTACGGTATCCACTCTTGTTATCTATCTTATGGGTGTGTTTAATCTATGCTTACTGTCTATACTACTGAAGGGAGAATGCATGCAAAAGCAAGGGAAAAAGAATGTAGGGAAAATAAAATTTTGCTCGCCTGGGCCCTACCCCAATGATTACGTATCTTTTTTGAGGAATCAGAGCTACCATAGTTCGGCTCTTATGTTTTTGTTTGTTTGTGTTTTTTAATGGACAATGTTAATTCCGCCTTCTGCCGCAGCTCGACCTTTGGAGACTTATGCGTTCGCACAGAAGTAAACTAAACATATCCTTACCTGAAAAGGGTTTTAGAGAAAAGGGTGCTCGAGCGCACAAAATAATTTGAATTGGTTTGTGTTTTTGTTACCTTGAAAAAGGGTTTAAGTGTTGTTAGCATGTTTTTGATGTGCTAAGAAAAAAAGTTTTTGTTTTGAATGCAAGGATGCAAAAAGGGAAAGAAAAGAGTCTATGGGAGACTAGCCTATCTCTAACCTAATGTTATCATACAATGGTAGTCCTATGTCGAGGATGAAAGGGGAAGTTTCTACCTAATGTCAGCATGCATGGTTTACAACCTAAGGTCTAACTTACGCCCGAACGGAGCAAGCGCATCCTAGCGGAACATGGTATGTACAAGAATGAAGCAAGCAAGCCAGTAAACTCGAGAGAGCACACCTGGAGAAATCCTATCTTAGTTAGCATGCCAAAGAAAGTCTAACAAAACTATCCTATAGGGAACATGCAATGAGAGCGAAGTCGTGATCTCAATTTCTAAATTGAGTGACTCATCGATCGGCAAGAAATAAAGGAAAGCGATAAAATCCTATAGGGAGCATGCACTGAGAGCAAAGTCGTGATCTCAATTCCTAAATTGAGTTACTCATCGATCAACAAGAAAGTTAACAAAACACGAGCACAACACATGTAGCAAATGAAGTGAGGAATGCCTGCTACAGGTCTTTAAACAACGACTTCGAGCGCACGCTCTTTATTTCCTACTTCTCATGGTATCTAGAAAAGCGGTAAAGTGCAGAAATGAAGAATAAAATGAGATTGCGATGATATCGAATGGAGAATGTCTGTTTCCTCTTCAAAACCATGCAAGCGATAAGAAAACTCTACAGGAGCTGCTCCGCACGGCCGATCAAAAAATTAATCTCCAAGCATTCCCCATCATGAAAGTTGCATCACATTCTATCATAAAACCTTGGCTAAAAATGGCAACAAAATGATTACCAAATATAATAGCAATAATAGAAAATTCTAATAAACTTCTAAAGAGAAATCTAAAAATTATAAAATGTTCTATCATTTTTTGTATTATTTTTATTATCAATTAAGGGGAAAAATTAAACTAGAAGAAAAATTAAAATAAAAAGAAGTTAGAAGAGTCAGGGGATGCAAACAGCAAGCAGAAATCAAAATGGCACTAAGCCCATTAAAATGAGCCCACAAGCAGTTTTTTGCAGGTACAAGGTTTAACAAAAACGCATAGAATTGGCCTATGGAAACTCAGTTAAGCCCAAGCATTTACCAGCAATTTATCCATTTCCTCAGCATATCATTTCAAAAATAAATAAAAAGTATAAATATTAACAGGAACATATACGAAGTCGTTTGGTCTAAAGGAATAGGGTTCCAAGGTTTGTGGATATTGGAATTTTCTGAAGCACGATCTTCTCCTTCTCTAAACGGCTCCAAAAATGGAATTTTCATCTCACCTTTCTCTTGCGAATTTTCGACGCATCGCCGTCTTCTGCTCCTGCTTCCTCTTCACCGTTCATCCAATTCCATTAACCTCTTCTCTGATTGATCTCAAATTGTGGCGATCTTCTTATTCGAATGCGAACCACGCCGTCCGCTTCTCTGTTCAATCTTCTTCACAGATTTCCGCCACCGATCATCTCAAATCCCAAATTGCAGTGGCGACTATCTCAACCTTCCATTTACCTTCATTGTTTTGCATCGAAAGAAACAAATATAAACCCTAGGTTTCGCCAAGTTCTTATTAAATGTTCATGATTAAACCTCTGAGCTCGATTCCATGGGGATTCGATTGTTCTCTTCTTACTCTACACAATCGTATGAAGAATGAAAAAAAGTTATGAAGATTGATGCACCTTTGATGAAGTTAATCTCAGGTATTTTCATTCTTCTCTTTTATCTTCGTCTTCTTCCCTTCTGCTTTCAGCCTTTGCTTCTATTCCCATCTTCCATCATGATTCTCAGTGAATCTTGATGCTACGATTTCATTTTTGTTCTTGCAAAAATATTGCGCTTACTGCAATGTGATTCACGGGATGAACCGAGGACAATGAAGATTGAAGATATTGAAGGATGAAAGTGATGGTGATTGAAGAATAGAGCGTGTAGTTGTGTAACCGATAATTCTCTAAGATGAAGATGATGACACAAGTGTTGTGGATTATGGAGGAATTGATGTGATGATGATTCGTCAAAAAACAATGCAGGAGATTGAAGGTTGTATGAGACCTTGAAGGATTTTCAGAGAATATGAATAGAATCTTGAAGGTGCTTATGGTGACTAAGATTGGAGTAGCTTGAGGATGAAGATGAAAGAGAGGAGAGTTTTTTTCTGAGAGTTTTTGGTGTGATTCCTCTAGAGAATGAAGAATGAAATCAATCTCAGGTACTTTTCTATTATTTGTAACTGTTAGAAGTTAGTTACAATTCGTTTTGTTCAGAAATTCTGTTATGATTCGATTAGAGGCTTATGAAAATTAGTTGTGGGATCCGCTGAGAGTTTTGTTATTCTTTTTTTGCAGTTAGAATTTTAGTTATGGATTTCAGTTAGAGGTTTTGTTTAATTCTATTAGCAGTTTGGAAAATGGTTACAGCTGTTAGTTTCTGTTATAGGTTAGTTAGGGGTTAAGGAAACTCTGTTATATCAGTTTCTGTTTGGAATGTTGGTTGGAAGTTGTTTATGAAAACAGTTAGGGAATTCTGGAATCTGAATGAAATTGTTAAAGGGTTATTTTGGAATCTGAATGAAATTGAAAAACATTTGCTAATTGTTTTGAATTTTTTTCTAAGCTAGTTTTATTAATTTGATACAGGGATGAACTAGTATTTTAACTGATGCAGGGCCATTGTTTCTCTGTCTAGGAACAAATGAAGTCATGAATTTGAGAAATTGCAGATTCTACATCAGAAGTTATTTGTATATATTGAGTAGGTTCTTGGGATGAAATGAGTTCTTTTTCTGCAACTGAACCGGCATCTTCAGAATTATCCTTTTTATCACATGGAATACCAGAAGGCGGGACATCGTGGGGAGTGACAGTAGCAGAGTCTTGTATGGATGTATCATGTGCGTCTTCAAGAACACGTGCGTCTTCAACAAGATGTTTAATATCCTTCAGGATCTGACCCACATCAGCATCCTTAGCCACGGACTCAAAAACTAATTGTATTCTTGATTGAAGTTCTGCTGGTGATAAGCCATCTATCCCACCGGAACTGGGTGATACTGCAGCAGGGGACACTTGAATTGCCAATACCTAAATTTTTTGTTTGTGATATCTTTGGTGTAATGTAATTGTAATTGGATTTGCAATTGATGTTGAATATGACTTGAAATGTTTTTTTTTGTAATGGAAACTTTGATTTGGAGTTATTTAAACATGTAAGGATTTTGGTCAAAGTTTTAATGCATCCTTGAATTTGTAATAAACAAAACTTGAATCAAGTTGAGTTGTTTTCCATCCATTGTGGTTTCATTTAAAATTTCAAGTCTTCTCCCATTTGTACTTTATGCCATGCCATGCTACACTTAGATAAACCACGAGATGAAAACCGAAAGTGACCAAAAATACATTGGTCAAAGGTCCACCTTTCATGGTTGACTGTGACTAAGAGTCAAGACTCACACAAATGACTTCCTTCTTAGAAAAATCCCCAAAATACTCCATGTAAAACCTAAAATATTTGCATAAGATCCAAAGTAAATGTCTTGAACCAACCTTTGAATTGACGATAATAAACTCAATTGAACCAAACTTTAAATGGTGATAGGAACCAAGCGAGACCTTAATACGTTGAACTGAACCATATGATAGTTATGGCTAAACAGAACCGAATTCACTTGATAACATAAGCGCACTGAAAAGAACCCCAATCCAAGTGGTGATTGCAACACAGATACTGCTTCTCAAACCTTGGTCCTTATGAATTTCCATACATAATGCAGAGTCTCCTGAATGAAATCCAATTGAATGACTTGTGCTAGAAGCAACAAATAACAACAATATCTTGATCATCATACGATTCCACAACAACATCTTTGTGCCATAACTCAAAACTTTTGCACCTCAATCTTCAAAGATCTCTTGACTTGCATAGCCCACAATATAACTGGCTTAAAGAACTCTTGGAGATGGATGATAAGGCTCGAAATAGTGAAGAAGACCCAAACCCTAGCTCAAAGCAATCTCTACTAAAAAATCGATATTGAAACCCTAATTCCTGAGGTTCTCGACCCCTTGCAAAGTTATGTTGTTAGTGAATGTATGCAATGTTAAATGACCTAATGGAGTTATGTATATGAGAAAAGCGCGACAATGCATAAGCCAGATAAAAGTAAGAGGGTAGGACAAATTTGGGGTATTACACGTGCAAGTGCAGTCAGAAGTTGCAAACATGGGTCAGAACATAGTTCTTCAATCAGAACATGACTCTTCAGCATATGGAAGTTACGTTTCTGATCTTCTACGGTCAGAACATTACCAAATCCCAAAACCTCGTTTAAGCAGCCTGCTGCCCTGCTATATCACAGTCCTGCAATCAGTTGTTGATCCAGTCCACGCCTGCACTTTCTCAAACCCCATATTTGCATCAAATTAGCATACAAAAACTGTGATTAAAAAGCAATGAAACAGTATACCAAAAATGTTTGAATCCCATTTGTTTTTCCCTCCAAAACTACTGCAAACCCATCTATAAATAATTTGCTTCATCACACGTTCAAGGGGCTGGTTTTTTGAGAGAGAAAATTGTCAAAAGAGAGAAAAGAAAACTATGAAACCTTCGTAAAAATCCAGAATTCCCAAACAGAAAACCAAACCTTTTGTTCTTCCCTTTGAATCAGAGAACTTGGCATTTTCTCTCCCGTTGCTCTTGGTGACTCCAGAACATTTGAAGGCAGCAGTTCAAGTTCCAAGAACACGCTCCAGATTCAAGGTAAGTCTTTCTGACTTTGCATCTTCTCATTCAGAACATCATTAAATATGTAAGTATCATAGTGTTGAGATTGTCCATATCATTGCATAAGAAAAAAAATGTGGTTCAGAACTTCTTGATTAAGGCTAGGCTCAGAACTAGGATTAGAACTTCTACAATCTACTGTGATTTTATCCTCCTGATTTGTTGTTAAGGATTGAATAAATTGTTGATGTGCTGATTAATATGATGAAAGAATTGAAATGTAACACAGAACTTCTGTTTTTCATTCACCATTTTAACACAAAGAATTTCTAGGATTTTCTCACTGTTTAAGCACGCAAAACTTCTGAGTTCTCTTTACCATTTTAACACACAACTTCTAGGCTTTCTTATTGTTTTAACACATAGAACTTCTGATGCTCACTCACTGTTGTAGCACAGCACAGGACTTCAGAGTTCTCCCTACACGTCAAACACACAGAACTTCTAGGCTTTCTTACTGTTAAGCATACTGAACTTCTGATGCTTCCACTTGCTGTTTTAACGCTCAGAATTTCTGATTTTCACACGCTGACAACACACTAAATTTCTGATGTTCAGTCACTAGTTTAGCGCAATACAAAACTTCTGACTTTTGGCTCACTGTCTGAATACCACCCAGAACCTCTGTTTCCTTTCCCTCTGACGTTTATTATAGGGCCATAGAGTGTATCAATCCAGAACTTCTGATTCCACTGACGTTCCTTTCTAAGTCACCACGCGCCCGGCTTCAGAACTTCTGATCCTTGTTGTTTTGCTTGCAGCAGCACGCTATTTCTATCTTTCATTTCTTTTCCTTTTCAATATTAATTCCTTTTTTTATTAATATAAAAAAAGGACATAAAAATATTTTCTTTTATTAATTAATTTATTTCTTTTTCTAAATTCATTAAGACAAAAAAACCATTTTCTAAACAAGTCCTTTTTCTCTCTTGCATTTTACATTTCAACATGGTTGTAATAGTTAAATAGGATTTAAATTCTTGCAACCCCCCATTTGTAAATATGTACCTCTCATCCCTAAAATATTGTAATAGCGTAAGACTTTTATATTTCCGCAATTTAACGCTTTTCCAAATATAAAATGCTAGTAATTAGGATGTGTTTGGCAATATATGAAATCAACGAATAGATTACCCTAATCAAGACTAAAATGTAAGCAATGAAACACACTTGCACACTATCACCCTTAGGATAATCCCACATGTTGCCTATCAGAAAAATAGTCATATCCCTCGAACATGGGTGTTTTAGAAAAAGACCCTCGATAAAAGATCATAGTCCCTCGATGTTTCCTTCGATAAAAGATCTAGTCCCTAACACGACATTGCTAAAATGTTCCATGGGTTGCCTTCTATGACTATACAAAAACGTCCCGCGCCCGTCCCTTCACATCCAACGATGAGGCTTCTTACCAAATCAATAGTAAGATAGCAACATCTAAAGGAGGAGGAAAAGAACATGTAAAACCTTTTGAGTAGGTAGATTCGCTCCTAGTTGCTCGTTTGCTCACAACAAAAACATTTTATACACCAACACATCTCTTTGAACTATTTTCAAAACCAACACTTTGTACGCATTCTTATAGAGACGAGAATCACTACAAAGTCACATTTTCAAAATACTTTCAAAACCCACATCACAAAGCACATTTCAAAACAAAAGCAAGTGATCTAGGAAGCAACTAAGAGCCCGTAGATAACTATGGATGAAAAGGGTGCTAACACCTTCCCTTTTCATAATCTACCTCCCGAACTCAAGAAAACATCTCTAAAGGTCTTTCCTGTGCTTTTTCACCTTTCCTTATTAGATAAAAGAAAAGTCGGTGGTGACTCTTTCTATCCACAACATTGCGATCAAACGCAAAACAAAAAGTCAGTTCTCTCACCGTATCACACCTTCTATGACTATACGAACGCCCCACAGTCGTCCCTTCACATCCAACGATGGGGCTTCTTACAAAATCAATGGTAAGATAGCAGCATCTAAAGGAGGAGGAAAAGAACATTTAAGACCTTTCGAGTAGGTAGATTTGCTCCTAGTTGCTCGCTTACTCACAACAAAAACATTTTATACACCCACACTCTCATTTTGAAACATTTTCAAAAGACAACACTTTGTACGCATTCTTATAGAAACGAGAGTCATTACAAAGAGACATTTTCAAAATCACTTTCAAAAACACATTCCACAAACACCTCTTTAAACTATTTTCAAAACAACACTTTGTATGCGTTCTTATAGAAACGAGAGCCATTACAAAGTCACATTTTCAAAATACTTTCAAAACCCACACCACAAGCATACATTCAAACAAAAGCAAGTGATCTAGAAAGTAACTAAGAGCCCATGGAAAACCATGGATAAAAAGGGTGCTAATACCTTCCCTTTTCATAATCTACCCCCCGAACTCAAGAAAACATCTCAAAGGTCTTTCCTGTTCTTTTCAGCCTTTCCTTTTGGATAAAAGAAAAGTCAGTGGCAACTCTTGCTAACTGCAACATTTGCAATCAAACGCAAAACACCCAAGTCAGTTCTCCCACCGTATTACAGTACACTACCATCTATAACTAATATTCTATTAGTAGATGGATTAATGCATAACTTGTTATCCATAAGTCAATTAAGTGATAACATTTATGATATAATCTTTAATCAAAAGTCATGTAAAGCAGTTAGTCAGAAAGATGGGTCTATCCTTTTTAATGGTAAGAGAAAGAACAACATTTATAAAATAAAACTTTTTGAACTAAAAAGTAATAATGAAAAAATGCCTTATGTATGTTAACAGTGACCAATGGGTCTGGCACAGAAGATTGGGGCATGTTAGTATGAGAAGAATGTCTCAGATTAACAAACTCAATCTGGTCAGAGGACTTCCTAAACTGAAGTTCAAATCAGATGCTCTGTGTAAAGCATGTGAAAAAGGAAACTTTTCAAAACCTTCTTTCAAATCAAAAAATGTTGTTTCTACCTCTAGACCATTAGAACTTCTGCATATAGATCTGTTTGGACCAGTGTAAACTACATCCAACAGTGGCAAGAAGTATGGATTAGTGATTATAGATGACTATAGCAGATGGACATGGGTTAAAGTTCTTAAGACACAAGACAAGTCACACTCTGTGTTCTCTACCTTCTGTAACCAAGTTCAAAATGTAAAAGATTTTATAGTTGTTAAAGTCAGAAGTGATCATGGTGGGGAATTCGAAAATAAAATATTTGAAAACTTTTTTAACGAGAATGGCATCTCTCATGATTTCTCTTGTCCTAGAACTCCTCAACAAAATGGAGTTGTAGAACGAAAGAATAGAACTTTACAGGAAATGGCCAGAACCATGATCAATGAGACTAACATTGCTAAAAACTTCTGGGTAGAAGCAGTCAACACAACATGTTATATTTAGAATAGAATCTAAATAAGACCTACTCTAGATAAGACTCCATATGAACTGCGGAAGAACAGAAAGTCCAACATCTCTTATTTCCATCCATTTGGATGTACTTGTTTTATATTAAACACTAATGAACATCTAAATAAATTTGATTCTAAAGCACAAAATTGTCTCATGTTAGGATATTGTGAACACTCAAAAGGTTATAGAGTCTATAACACAGAAACACGAATTATGGAAGAATCTATTAGTGTCAGATTTGATGATAAGCATGGCTCTCAAAAGTCAAAGAAAGGTAAAAATTTTGTAGATATAGAAAATCAACTTACAGGTACTGAAGACAGATCGTCAGAAAATCTTAATAAAGAATCTCAGGAAAATACAGAAGAAGATGTCACAAACATTCCAGCAACTTCTAAAGACCCCATCAAGAAAAGACAATCCAAAAGCAGCTTAATCCATCCGGAAGACATGATTATGGGAAAGAAAGATGACTCAATCATAACAAGATCTACATTTAGAAATTCTGAAGAATCACTCATGGGATTAGTATCTCTGATCGAGCTAACTTCCATTGACAAATCTCTTCTAAACAATGACTGGATCCTTGCAATGCAGGAAGAACTAAATCAATTTACTAGAAACAATGTGTGGGATCTGGTTCC